ATGTTCAGATCCAAAGGATGGCAGTAGAAGAGGCGATTGAAAGAAGGAGACGAGCAGCTGCGTATGAAAAAGACGAAATGAGATCAGACGGAATATAGAAGGTGCACAACCCTTTCGTTAGGGAGTGTCTGTCTACCGATCCATTGGTCATAACGCAGCAATGAACAGGTGAAGCAATAGATCAGAATGGGTCAGTAGTTTGGATGTAGTTCATGGTGATCATGAGAATCCGAAACGGTAACGGTTTCACGGAAGATATTAGGCGCGATCGCCATGGTATTACTCACACAATATATTCATATCGCTTCGGCCCTTGTGTAATTCACATCGTAAATGACACAAATGTTGTTGCATAGATGCTATTGCAACTCGACGAAGGGCTCGCGAAGAAGATTCGAAACAGGCAGCGATTGTGACAAAACAACAGGTATAATTCCTCAACCTTCAATGAAGGTTGCAGCACTCTTGTGACGTAGATAGCAGCAGCTGAGGCTAACGAGAAGGCGAAGGAAGAGTTTCGGGCCCACTTGGCTGATCGACTCGAGAAAGTGGCTCGCAGTATCGGAAAGGACTTGAGTGAAAATGCCAAAGTGAGACACCAGTCGCCCTCCGAATTTTCTTCATATTTATTATTATTGTTTTGATGGTATGCATTGCTATGTTATAAGTGTTCATATTTACTAGGCCTTCTCGACTGTCTGTTGTGCTCGACTTTGTAGATTGCGATAGGTCTCGGGTTCCAAACTCGACATTTTTCATGCAAGAATAAGTTTCCCGTCCTTCTGGGGAGCCTCCCGAATCGGGAGTCCCGATTGGTTCTCGTGTTGGGATTCATTCTGATTTAGGAGAAGTAATTCGTACGTACGCACATTCGAAATGACTGGCCCCACTCGCCCCGAAATTTTGTAGTGTAGAATAGCTGATATGATTTATGATAGGCCAGCATAGTTCGACTATCACTTTCCAGTATAAATTTAGCAATTATTTCCCACTACAGTATGCCTGTATCCCTTGATAATGTATATTGATATGGTGTCGTTCAGCGACGAGAAGAGGAGGAAAACCGTCGGCTAGAGGCTCAGTTGCAGGCCGTTGAGATAGCTTATCAAAAGGTTGGTAGTTTACGCAGGAGCCCCAGTTAGAAGGGAGTCTCTGTCTTAGGCTGAGGCAAATAAACGTGTTCGTCAGGAGGAGACGAGGAGGGAGATATTGGAGGGCCTCTCACAACATGTGAGTTACTGTGCTCACGGAATGCAATAATCTGTCCGAGACAGATAAGACAGAAAGCGAAAGTCAAGGAAGTCGAGGAAGCTGTGAACAAGCGACAGGTGAACGTATAATAGAAGTCCTGATTGGTGGCTATTGTTAGTCGGTCAGGGAGAAGAAAACCACAAGGTCGCCATAGAGGCATTGAAGGACGAAGAGGAAGAAAACCGTCGAAGGCGACAAAAGAGGGCTGCTATGGATGAGGAACTGGTAGGCCTCAGCTATCGATAGGTGATCAGTCTGCCTTTTTAGGAGAAGCAGATTTGGTTCACTAAGTTGACAACGGAGGAGGACAGAATGGAGATGGATCTCCAACGGCGAGAACTCGAACTGAATCAGCCCCTGCTCCGGTAGGTCTGAGTGACGCTAGCCGTATCGGGCTTCATAAGTTCTCAGGGAAATGGCGGCCCATGGCTATAAGGAGGAGAAGTGCAGAGAACTCCTTCTATCCCCTCAAGTTGACTTGACACATGAGTAACCGGCTGTTGTTCTGATTCACCCTTACCAATGTTAGATGTCGGCACGCTGTGTGATTTTGTGTATATAGTTGGACAATAAGTAGTAGTTCACTAGCGGAAACGATTGAACACCAGTATCAGTGAACGATCTTTTAATCAATTGACTGAATGATACTGCCATAGTGAAGGAAGATGCGGTTGATGATAGACTTGTGGCAACCTTATTCCGTCGGAAACGAAGACAGTTGTTACTTCATAGTTTTTCCGTACGTGAATTCCAGTAGTTTCTGTCCACACTGTGGTAGTGCGGATTCTCTAGTGTTGAGCGGTCGAGGATTCGTCCGTCTCCTGTAAATACGTACAGATTGCGTCAGCCTTGGCAAATAATACGAACTGGTTCGTGTCTTAGCACAAATTAAATTCTCTTTCCTTTACACTTCCTAACCGAGGTCTAGTGAGAGATAGTTGTTCACCTCTGGTCCGATCTGCGACGCAGATTAGACGACCAGCCAAGACGAATCAACTACCTTGCAGTCGCCGAAAGCCAAGATTCACGGACTCGGTATATGGGTTCCGTGTTGTGGTTTTCGGCCACTGTCCCTCCCAAACTCGCAAATCAGGGGTGTCGCGTTAGTAATACTAACTTAGTATCACGCAACGGCATGGCAGGAAGCGCAACCTTTTTGTACATGAGTGCAAAGACATACCTTCGTAGATGGATCTACTCGAAGACGTGATCGGAAGTAGATACAGGTATCAGATAATACCGCAGCAGCGGCAAGTAAGGTTGGCAGGAGCGCCAACAGTAATCCTCAAAAGAATTCATGGAAGACTCTGAATCTCATGGATCGTTTCCCGCACGTACATGTTACTGACGCCACGTCAGTAGCGGCCAGCTACTGACTTAGCTACTAGCGGGGACGTCTCCAGGCCTACGAGTAAAGAGGGGCTCATGGGGAGCGGGAACTTCCTCTTGGGCGGCACCTCGGTTATACGCAACAACATGCCTCGAAGACGAAGCCTCACAGTCTAGCGGCTATATCCGATATAGTATATCGTCGTCAGATTCTCTATCATCGTAAATAGGTATTAGGGTGAAAAATTAGGGGCCAATAGTTATTCACTCACAATAAATAATATTTATTAAATATCGTTATGAATGATACATGTCATAGCAGGAGCAACAAAAGCGCAACTAATTCTCACCTACTTCAACAAAAGGAAATTTCGCTCAGCGAAGCGATGATCACCGGGTGATCATCGTTTATCGATCCGATAATGTCGATTCGCTAGAGTCGATGCGATTCTATCGGTGATCATCACCACTGGAGATACGCAGATTGTTCATAATCCCGTGTATGGTCGAGAAGCTACGTTCACTGGGAGACTCTCTGTAAGTGGCAG